CACACACACACACACACACACACACACACAAAGATATAACCCAGACTGTCTTGGAACTCAAGATCTTCCTTCCCAAGTGCTGAGAATACAGGCCTGTGCTACTGTACCTGGCTTGCTTTGATACTTATTCCAGTGACTATTATTGCAGTCTGAGTTGTGCACTTTCTCCTCCTCTTGGTAAATGTTTCCTCCAACTTGGTAAATGTCTTAAAAGAATTGAAACCTCGAAATATTCGCCAATAAAATAATTTTGATAATCCTAATATACTTAACGTGAAAAAAAGATTTAACCATAAGCTTTAGTTTCCTCTCAAGTCAACTACCTAACTATACTAAAAGCAGTACTTTGGGAGCCGGGAAAATGGCTCAGTAGAATAAGTGCTTCCCTGGCAAGTGCAAGGGTCTGAGTTCAATCCCTGGTTCCGCAATAAATAAATTAATTAATAAAATAAAATCAGTATCTTTCTTGGTGCTGGGGATTAAACCCAGGCTCTCCCACACACTAGCCAAGTGCTCTACCAATGAGCTATATTCTCAGCCTTTCTTAAATTTTTATTTTAGACTCAGGAGTCTGAGGCAGGAGGATCATTATGAGTTTGAGAACAACCTGGGCTACAACGTGAGCTCAAGGACAGCCTGAGCTGTGCAATAAGACCCTGTCTCAAAACAACAAAAATAGAAAAAAAAATTGAGATAAGTCTCACTAAATTTTCCTGGCAGCCCTCTAAATTAAAATCCTTTTATCCACCCGCAGGGCGTGCTGAGACAGTGATTGAGACTGGGCATGGGGGCGCACGCCTGTAATCCCAGCACTTGGGAGGCTGAAAACAGGAGAATCACTATGATGCCCATCTATGTAGTGAGACCCTGTAGACCTTGTCCTAAATACAGGAGGGAAAAAATCCTTCTCACTTGACCTCTGTGGTACCTGAGATTATAGGCATGTACCACCATGTCCCACTCTAAAATCAGGTGAGAAGACTTCTCAGTTCAGATTATTTTACCAGGCAGTGTCTCTTCAAAATGAGTAAATAATTCCACATATTACTCCCAAATTTAGTTATCTGTAAATCACAAAAGCCTTGAATAATATATGACTATCTCATATAATTGTGGTGGTTGAGGGAATAATCCCTTTTTAAGAATAAATACTCCAGAGGCTGGAGAGATAGCTCAGTAGAATAAGCACTTTCCTGGCAAGAGCAAGGGCCTGAGTTCAATCCCCAGGTCTGCCAAAAACAAAAAACACAATAAATACTCCATTACTATTTCTGGTCACAAAAGGATGTATTTGATCAAGTCTGATTTACTTTTTCACATTTTTATGTCTGAAATTTAATATATATAAATATATATATATAGTATTTGGTACACAGTCTCACTATGCAGCTCCAACTCCTAGTGATCCTCCTGTTTTCAGCCTCACCCTCACGCTAGGATTACAGGTGTGCCCCGCCATGCCTGGACGCTCACTGGATCAGCTCACCCTGCGGTGGGCCAGCGTGGCATGCAGGACAGGGTTAGAACCTGGTCCCTGCACTTGCCAAAGCAAGCTATTAGTCTGCTGAGCTACCTCACTGGTCCTTGAATACTATACAATGAATAGTATGTTAAGTTTTATTTGGTCAGATTATTTCTTAGTGACATATTAAGTAATGCCATATACTTATGATGTGTTAGATTTGATGTAGCATGTGGTATAGTGTATAGTTTAACTCAAAAGAGAATTTTTTTTTCCTATACAAAGTAAACATTCTTTCTTTTGACCTGTTTTTCTTTGGACTACTCTACTTTCTTAGACTGCAGAAATGAAACAGGAGAAAAGCATTTAAAATATCTACTGTTGGACTGGTGAGATGGCTCAGTGATCTAAAGCACCTACTCAGAACAAGCTAAGCTAAGCAAAAGCACAGGGACCGCAGTTCAATCCCCAGCACCACATGCCAGCCAGCCCCGCCCCCTGGTGGGCTGAGCTGGCCACACACACAATAAATAAATTAATTAATTAAAATATATCTACTATTTCAGTTACTACATGCTTCTTTTGTATAAATGAGCTAGAAGAAACAAGTGAGGTAAATTTTTAAAGTGGGATTATATTCTTTGGGAATAGAATAAATTCTAAAAGTACTTGGATATTAGGAGATACACTATCAACATGGAACTCAAAATTATCCTCAGTATACCTATTTTTATCTTTTTTTTTTTTTTGTAATTTAGTACAGGGTCTCACTACATAGATCAGACTCATAGTGATCCTGTGATCCTCCTGTTTACAGCCTCCCAAGCGCTGGGATGACAGGCACGCACCACTACGCCCAGTCTCAAACCCCCAGCTCCTGCCCTGCTTAGGGAAGCGCTTTAATCCGCTGAGCTACCTGGCAGGCCCACTGTTTTTATCTTTTTAATTAAATGTTTATTCAGAGATGGTCATAGCACACAATGATTAGACTCCTTTGGGCAGTTGTCACATGTACATAACACGTTTTTTTTCATCTCTTTCCCCATACCTCCTTTAAAACTCTCTTTGTTCACTTCCCTTTTGTAAAAGATCTATCTCCCTATTTCCTATTATCTTTCAGTTTACTCCACTTGTATTTTGGGTTTCTCATATAAGAGAAGCCATGGGATATTTAAGCTTGTGGGGTTTTGTTTTTGTTTTTTTAATTTAGTACAGGGTCTCACTACACAGATCAGACTTGTACTGATCCTCTTGTTTTTAGCCTCCCAAGCGTGGGGATTAAAGGCGCAGGCCACCACACCCAGTCTCAATTGTCTTAATGTTTTCTTGAAATGTTGTAGTTTAAAATTCCTACACTTGGGTAAGTGCTAAACACTGGTGGGTGAAATCTAAGGCCACTGAAGTTTATCCCACATGAAAAATCTTTCCTTCCCTTTCCCATTCGTTAAGGAGTCCTTCCATTTGCTTCTGGTTTTCTTTTCTTTTATTTCTTTTTAATTTTAGGGAACGGTCTACAGGGTGTTCAGGGTCTCACTACTAGATTGGACTTGTAGTGATCCACCTGTTTATAGCCTTCCAAAAGCTGGGATTACAGGCACGTGCCACCATGCCCAGTCTCAATTGCCATCTTAGCGCACCCCGGGTACAGGGCAGCACCACAGGTCCAGATCATACCCGGCCCCTATGCCTGCTTGCAGGCACTTTATTCTGCTGAGCTATTTGCCTGGTTCTGCTTCCATTTGTTGCTACAAAAGCTCTCCGAAAGTTTCACTATCCAAAGTCCACATTTTATAGCATTTTTTGTCCTTGATTTTGGTGGTACTGGGGATTGAATACTTTCAGTGAACTATATCCCCAGCCTCTGCCTCCCCCCTTTTTTAAGACAGGGTCTCCAACAAGGCTTAAACTTTAAACCTTCCTGCTTCTAGCCGCCCAGAGTGCTGGGATTATAAGTATATATCACCAGTGTATATTACCATTCCCAGCATAGAGAGAGTTATAAAGGCTATATAGGAATTAAACATTAAAAAAGTAATGGAAGGGCCAGGGAAATGACTCAGTAGGTAAGTGCTTTCTTTTGCCATTGATTTCTAGTTTCACTATACTGAGCTGATAATATGCATGGAATAATTTGATTCATTTACATCTACATAAATACGCTAATATGAGTTAGTATGTGGTCTGTTTTCAAGGTTCTGTGTGCTGCTGAGAAGAATATGTATTCTATTGTTGTTGTATATTCTGTAGATATCCTTTAAATTCATTTGTTCAAAGGTTTGATTCAACTTTAATATTTTTGTTTTTATTTTGGCTTTATTAATTCATCTACTTGTGACAGTGGAGTATTGCAATCCATCACTATAGTTGTGTTGAAGTTTATTTGATCCTTTATGTATGTCCAGGAATGTTTTATGAAATTTGGGGCACTGGTTTTCAGTATATGTATGTTTATAAGTATTAGTGATTCCTGATTAATTGTCCCTTAGTGACCTTCTTTGCCTCTTTCTGATCAGTTGTAGCTCAAAGCCCACTGTCTGAAAATAGGATAGCTACTTCTGCTTGTTTTCAGGATCCCATTGAAAGTAGC